GCTGTATCTGCTACCTCTGTCCCTAGAGAGAGGGTGGTCTCCACAGCAGGAGACATTGTGAGTGCCAGCAGATCTGCCCTCACGGCAAGCAATGTGGACAAGTTCATTAAAGAGACATGAAAATACAATGAGAAGCAAGTCCTAATGTCAAACTAGTGCAGTACAGTTCAAGTACAGATTATTTCAGTTCATCGAAATGCTGCACCATAATGTTTATTTTATTATATTTTGTGTTTATTTGAGTGAATACATTATTCACAGTTTAATAATAATTAAAAACCCCAAATAAATATTTTATGTTTTGTGATCATTTTTTCTGCTGTACCGAAAACGTACCGAACCGTGACCTAAAAACCTGAGGTACGTACCGAACCGAAATGTTTGTGAACCGTTACACCCCTAGTGTGCGTGTGAGTGTGTGTGAGTGTGTGTTTGTGTGTGTGTCTCTCACCGTTCTCACCTCCGTGGGGGGGGGTACATGGACGGGGCCGACGCCTGCTGACTGGCGACGATGGCTGAAGACGAGAGACCTGGAAAACATTCACAGCGTTTAAAATACGCTGAGAAAACCAATTCATAACAGTAAAGAAGTATCTTGGCTGATTTGTGTGGACTGGTTTTGGGGTTATTGGGTCCATTTCTGACATTTTCAGGATCAATAATGGTCGTTTTAACCAGAAAGCAGCCGTATCTGTAGGACTGGTTTTGATGAGTTTTGGGTCGATTTTGAAGATTTAGAGCAGGGCTGGGGAACCTTTCTCCTCTCAAGGGCCATTTCAATTTGTTCAACATCCTCCGAGGGCCGTACAAATGATTGACCTCTGCTTAAAAATACTCAAATCACAGCCCATTCATTTGGCCTTTCTTTCATGCTGTGCAAGCAACCTCTTAATCCAGATATCTTTCCATGACTCGCACATGCACGTGCACGGTGTGGCATGCACGTGCACGGTGTGGCATGACCCCCACAACAGAGAGATATGGACCCAAGATGTGTGCAAATGTATTTAGTTTCCTATCCATGTGGACATGATTTAAGTGGGGGGGGGACCTAACCTCCTCTAGGGGGGTCCGGGGGGCATGCTCCCCCGGTGTTAAAAGCATCAATCTGGTGCTTTGAGAGCAACATTAAGAGATCTATGGAAACATCTCTCAACATATGAAACAGAACTGGAAGCAGATTTAATTTTATGGATATTTTACAAATCACTCTCCTTTCAAACTGTATTCTTGTTTATTAATAACAACTTTTTTTACTGTCATATAGTATTTTATACCTGTTTACTTTATTCTCTTATTCTTTTATAACTATAATGATCATATAAAGATGTGCCTTTACCTCACTGGTTGTAGAAAAAGCTTCTTATATCCGTTAGCATAGCTAGCTAACCAGATGCTAATAACAGCAAAGTGATTGACTGTATGATCAGTATGACAGATGAACAGATCTCTGGGCTTTCAGCTAAAGACACAGCCACGCAGAAACTGCTGCATGAGTACGGCTCCTTATGGGTACTGCACTTTGTGAAGAGCCGGAGCGGCGTTCTGGTGCTCTCCATCAGGACTGCACCCCTGCAGACGAGACATATACCACGTGATGACACGTTAGGCTCGTGTTGTGTTCAAGGACCCTGACCTTGGCCAGGAAAAACAGGCACTCGCTTTTTTAATTATTTTGCGGTCTAGATTTCTTAAATGTTTTTCTTTTTTGTATGTGTTTATAAATTACCTCGAGGGCCGTACCAAATGGTCTCGCAGGCCGCATACGGTGCGGGGGCCAGAGGTTCCCCACCCCTGATTTAGGTGCTTCCCCCACGGGAACGCATACGGCAAAACGCATAGGATTAACACAATCGCAAAAAAAACCCAGCAGGGGGTACCCCAGGTGATGGGTCTATAATGTTTATCAGTGTGTCTCACCTGAGGCGTAGGACAGGTCGTCCTGCCCCCCCAGCAGGGGGTACCCCAGGTGATGGGTCTATAATGTTTATCAGTGTGTCTCACCTGAGGCGTAGGACAGGTCGTACTGCCCCCCCAGCAGGGGGTACCCCAGGTGATGGGTCTATAATGTTTTATCAGTGTGTCTCACCTGAGGCGTAGGACAGGTCGTCCTGCCCCCCCAGCAGGGGGTACCCCAGGTGATGGGTCTATAATGTTTATCAGTGTGTCTCACCTGAGGCGTAGGACAGGTCGTCCTGCCCCCCCAGCAGGGGGTACCCCAGGTGATGGGTCTATAATGTTTATCAGTGTGTCTCACCTGAGGCGTAGGACAGGTCGTCCTGCCCCCCCAGCAGGGGGTACCCCAGGTGATGGGTCTATAATGTTTATCAGTGTGTCTCACCTGAGGCGTAGGACAGGTCGTACTGCCCCCCCAGCAGGGGGTACCCCAGGTGATGGGTCTATAATGTTTATCAGTGTGTCTCACCTGAGGCGTAGGACAGGTCGTCCTGCCCCCCCAGCAGGGGTACCCCAGGTGATGGGTCTATAATGTTTATCAGTGTGTCTCACCTGAGGCGTAGGACAGGTCGTCCTGCCCCCCCAGCAGGGGGTACCCCAGGTGATGGGTCTATAATGTTTATCAGTGTGTCTCACCTGAGGCGTAGGACAGGTCGTCCTGCCCCCCCAGCAGGGGGTACCCCCGGGTGATGGGTCTATAATGTTTATCAGTGTGTCTCACCTGAGGCGTAGGACAGGTCGTACTGCCCCCCCAGCAGGGGGTACCCCAGGTGATGGGTCTATAATGTTTATCAGTGTGTCTCACCTGAGGCGTAGGACAGGTCGTCCTGCCCCCCCAGCAGGGGGTACCCCAGGTGATGGGTCTATAATGTTTATCAGTGTGTCTCACCTGAGGCGTAGGACAGGTCGTCCTGCCCCCCCAGCAGGGGGTACCCCAGGTGATGGGTCTAATATGTTTATCAGTGTGTCTCACCTGAGGCGTAGGACAGGTCGTCCTGCCCCCCCAGCAGGGGGTACCCCAGGTGATGGGTCTATAATGTTTATCAGTGTGTCTCACCTGAGGCGTAGGACAGGTCGTACTGCCCCCCCAGCAGGGGTACCCCAGGTGATGGGTCTATAATGTTTATCAGTGTGTCTCACCTGAGGCGTAGGACAGGTCGTCCTGCCCCCCCAGCAGGGGGTACCCCAGGTGATGGGTCTATAATGTTTATCAGTGTGTCTCACCTGAGGCGTAGGACAGGTCGTCCTGCCCCCCGGCAGGGGGTACCCCAGGTGATGGGTCTATAATGTTTATCAGTGTGTCTCACCTGAGGCGTAGGACAGGTCGTCCTGCCCCCCCAGCAGGGGGGTACCCCAGGTGATGGGTCTATAATGTTTATCAGTGTGTCTCACCTGAGGCGTAGGACAGGTCGTCCTGCCCCCCCAGCAGGGGGCCCCCCAGGTGATGGGTCTATAATGTTATCAGTGTGTCTCACCTGAGGCGTAGGACAGGTCGTACTGCCCCCCCAGCAGGGGGTACCCCAGGTGATGGGTCTATAATGTTTATCAGTGTGTCTCACCTGAGGCGTAGGACAGGTCGTCCTGCCCCCCAGCAGGGGGTACCCCAGGTGATGGGTCTATAATGTTTATCAGTGTGTCTCACCTGAGGCGTAGGACAGGTCGTCCTGCCCCCCCAGCAGGGGGTACCCCAGGTGATGGGTCTATAATGTTTATCAGTGTGTCTCACCTGAGGCGTAGGACAGGTCGTCCTGCCCCCCCAGCAGGGGGTACCCCAGGTGATGGGTCTATAATGTTATCAGTGGTGTCTCACCTGAGGGCGTAGGACAGGTCGTCCTGCCCCCCCAGCAGGGGGTACCCCAGGTGATGGGTCTATAATGTTTATCAGTGTGTCTCACCTGAGGCGTAGGACAGGTCGTACTGCCCCCCAGCAGGGGGGTACCCCCAGGTGATGGGTCTATAATGTTTATCAGTGTGTCTCACCTGAGGGGTAGGACAGGTCCGTCCTGCCCCCCCAGCAGGGGGTACCCCAGGTGATGGGTCTATAATGTTTATCAGTGTGTCTCACCTGAGGCGTAGGACAGGTCGTACTGCCCCCCCAGCAGGGGGTACCCCCAGGTGATGGGTCTATAATGTTTATCAGTGTGTCTCACCTGAGGCGTAGGACAGGTCGTACTGCCCCCCCAGCAGGGGGTACCCCAGGTGATGGGTCTATAATGTTTATCAGTGTGTCTCACCTGAGGCGTAGGACAGGTCGTACTGCCCCCCCAGCAGGGGGTACCCCAGGTGATGGGTCTATAATGTTTATCAGTGTGTCTCACCTGAGGCGTAGGACAGGTCGTCCTGCCCCCCCAGCAGGGGGTACCCCAGGTGATGGGTCTATAATGTTTATCAGTGTGTCTCACCTGAGGCGTAGGACAGGTCGTCCTGCCCCCCCAGCAGGGGGTACCACCAGGTGATGGGTCTATAATGTTTATCAGTGTGTCTCACCTGAGGCGTAGGACAGGTCGTACTGCCCCCCCAGCAGGGGGTACCCCAGGTGATGGGTCTATAATGTTTATCAGTGTGTCTCACCTGAGGCGTAGGACAGGTCGTCCTGCCCCCCCAGCAGGGGGTACCCCAGGTGATGGGTCTATAATGTTTATCAGTGTGTCTCACCTGAGGCGTAGGACAGGTCGTCCTGCCCCCCCAGCAGGGGGTACCCCAGGTGATGGGTCTATAATGTTTATCAGTGTGTCTCACCTGAGGCGTAGGACAGGTCGTCCTGCCCCCCCCAGCAGGGGGTACCCCAGGTGATGGGTCTATAATGTTTATCAGTGTGTCTCACCTGAGGCGTAGGACAGGTCGTCCTGCCCCCCCAGCAGGGGGTACCCCAGGTGATGGGTCTATAATGTTTATCAGTGTGTCTCACCTGAGGCGTTAGGAGACGGTCGTACTGCCCCCCCAGCAGGGGGTACCCCAGGTGATGGGTCTATAATGTTTATCAGTGGTGTCTCACCTGAGGCGTAGGACAGGTCGTACTGCCCCCCCAGCAGGGGGTACCCCAGGTGATGGTCTATAAATGTTTATCAGTGTGTCTCACCTGAGGCGTAGGACAGGTCGTACTGCCCCCCCAGCAGGGGGGTACCCCAGGTGATGGGTCTATAATGTTTATCAGTGTGTCTCACCTGAGGCGTAGGACAGGTCGTACTGCCCCCCCAGCAGGGGGTACCCCAGGTGATGGGTCTATAATGTTTATCAGTGTGTCTCACCTGAGGCGTAGGACAGGTCGTACTGCCCCCCCCAGCAGGGGGTACCCCAGGTGATGGGGTCTATAATGTTTATCAGTGTGTCTCACCTGAGGCGTAGGACAGGTCGTACTGCCCCCCCAGCAGGGGGTACCCCAGGTGATGGGTCTATAATGTTTATCAGTGTGTCTCACCTGAGGCGTAGGACAGGTCGTACTGCCCCCCCAGCAGAGGGTACCCCAGGTGATGGTGGGAGGGCAGCATGCGTTGGGAGGGGGAGTTCCGGGGCCCCTCCCTCTCCCTCTCTTGGGGCTTGTTGTCCTGCACTGAGGGGGATTTGCTCTTGTACTGGCTGGCGTGTTGCTGCAGCAGCTCCAGAGCTTTGTTCTCTGCGGGGGGGGGCTTCACGGTGGGGCTGGACCTGGAGGCTTTCTCCCCCTCCTCCGCCCCCGCAGCCTTCCCCCCGTAGGAAGGGAACGAGTAGCCGGCCGGCAGGTAGCCTGAGGAGAGAGAGAGCAGCTTCAATCATCTCAATATTGGCTTTTCAACACTTTTTAATCGCTTTATTTATTAAAAAAAATTACCAAATATTTGGCATTTTATCAATTTGTATCAATCTCTAACATATATATGTGGATTTATTTGCAAATATTTGGCTTTTTTAAATAAGTTAGTACCAGTTTTTTTTACCAGTTTATCGACATATTTAGCATTTTTATAACATTTTCTACAAATATTTGGCTTTTTTATCAATTTTTTATCTGTTTATCAGCAAATATTTGGCATTTTATATAATTGTTTCTGCAAAGGTTTTACATTTTAACCAGATTTCAGAAAATGTGGCATTTTTTCTGCAATAATATGGCTTTTTTTTTAAATCCGTTTTTACCAGATTTTCAGAACAATTTGAAATTTTTTGTACATTTTCTGCAAATATTTGGCATTTTTATAAAATTATCAGCAAATATTTGCATTTGATATAATTGTTTCTGCAAAGTTATGACATTTCTATCAGGTTTTCAGGAAATATTTGGCATTTTATAAAATATTCAGGAAATATGTGGCTTTTATAAAAAAATTTTTTTTTTCAGTTTTTCAGTAAATATTTGATTTTTTCCCTAAAATTTCCAAATATTCCACTTTTTTTTCACCAATTTTGCTCAGTTTTCCCTAAAAGACGTTACATTAACCCTTTGAGTCCTACTCACCGGGGTAGTTCTGCATCATGACGGAGGGCAGGCCTCTGAACCCCGGGTGCCCCGCCCCCTCGTACCCGTGGCTGTAGGCGTACGGCCCCGGCATGTAGGGCAGGTAACCCTGGTGATGCTGGGGCATAGGGGAGGAGAACTGCATCTGGGGAGGGGGCGGGGGGCGCGCCTCCTTACCCCCCCCTCGGTGATCACCCTCCTTCACCTCCTCCTTCACCTCCTCCTTCTCCTTCTGGTGCTCTTTAGGTCTCGATCGCTCCTCCTTTCCTTTCCTCTCCCTCTCTCTCTCTCGCTCTCTCTCCTCCTCCTGAGGCTTTGGGGCTTCTGGGTATTTGTTGGGATAAACATAGGGCCAGAGGCGAGAGTCCGGCTCCTGAGGAAGAGGAGGAAGAGGAGGAGAGAGGAGGAGAGAGATGTTAGTAAAGACAACAGACTGTGAAACTGCATCAGCCCCTAAATATTAGTACTTTTACCCACTTTTTCTTCAAATATGTCGCTTTTTGATCAATTGTTTGAGGCCTTTTTTATACATGCCCCGCCCACAGTGTTAACCCCCAGCTGTAGTTACCTGTCTGTACCACATGGCGGGCTCCACTCCTCCCTGTTTCCCCCCCTCTTCTTTCCCATGATGCCCTGCTTCACTCAGCTTCATCTTCAGGCCTTCTGGTTGGACGGCAGCGGCTGGAGGAGGCGGGACTTTCTGCTCCTCGCCTTTCGACATGATCACAGATTTGCCCTCTGCAGTTACCTGGGGGGTTTCTCGAGGGTCTCGAGGGTCCTTCAGCTCCTTCAGCTCCTTCAGCTCCTTCATCTCTCTAGGCTCCTTCAGCTCTCTAGGCTCTCTGGGCTCTCTGGGCTCTTTGGGCTCTTTTGGCTTGGGGCCCCCCTTGCTGCCCCCCAGGTCTGAGAGGCTGGGGGCTCTGGAGAGCGTGGGGGGGGGCAGCGAGGCCTTCTTGTTGTCGTGCTGCTGTCGGTACGCGGGGTTGGAGGCCAGCAGGTGGGCGTGGTAGTTCTGGTCGGGGGGGTAGGAGTAGGGGGGCACGTAGTACTGGTTGTAGTAAAGCTGCTGCGCGTACATGTTGGAGCGCGGCTGGATCACAGACGGCTGCTGAGGGTCCTGCTGAGGGTCCTGCTTCCTGTCCTCCAGAGGCTCCACCTTCAAAACAACAGCTCAGAGGCGTCAGAGGCACAGACACAGACATCACGACGCGTCACCAGCGAGACGCACACAAACACATCTCAGAGGCGTCAGAGGCACAGACACAGACATCAAGACGCTTCACCAGCGAGACGCACACAAACACATCTCAGAATGTAAAATGAAGTACCTCCGACTCCTCCTCCTTCTTCACCTGGACACCCTCCATGAGGGGGGGTGCGGCAGGGCTGGCGTTGGGGTACGTGGGGGAGTAATACGAGTCGTAGTTTGGGTAGTAGTCCTTCCCGGGCGGCTGGGGGGGGAACAGGGTCTTCTTAGCACCTTCTCGCGGCGCCTGGTCGGGCTCCGTCTTCACCTTTTAATAATAATGATATAAACAACGTTATTTATACAGAAGCTTTCGTGCAACACGAGGCGCTCTGCGCCTCGTGTCGCTCTGCAAAGCGCCTCGTGTCGCTCTGCAAAGCGCCGCGTGTCACTCTGCAGAGCGCCTCGTGTCGCTCTGCAAAGCGCCTCGTGTCGCTCTGCAAAGCGCCGCGTGTCACTCTGCAGAGCGCCTCGTGTCGCTCTGCAAAGCGCCTCGTGTCGCTCTGCAAACAATAACAATAAGGGGAAATAAAGAGTAGGGAATGAGTAAGAATCATAAAACATTAAAACATGAACAGTGCACCCCTACCTGACCCCAAATGAAAAAGAGAATAGTCTGTTTGCAGCTCAGAGGGTCTTATTGTGACCCCGGACATGTTGAGGACCCCAACGTTTTATGATAGACTACAATGTGTGGAAAAGGCTCCCACCTTCACCTCCCCCGTCCTCGCCTCGATTTGATACTGCTTAAGTTTGTACAGTATCAAAATTCATTATCATTTTTTGTATTATTGTTTTACACGTTCGAAATAAATAAAAATCAAATCAAATAAATAAAAACGTCAGTAAATAAAGTGTTTGTTTGTCCCTAGCACAAACTGCTGGATGCTAACCTGCAGGACTCTCCATCCTTTATTATGAATAATATAGTGTAGGACCATACCTATATAAGGAATATTTATACTTTATTTTTTTCAAAATACCAAACAGATCATGCATTTTAGCCATGCCTCATTTTGCTCAATTTGACATTTTTTATTTCTGTTTTTGCAAAAGCAGATTCTGTGAGAGCAGCACCACCTACAGGCCTGGCATATGTACTACAGCGTCTCCAGCGCTTTCGAACGGCAATGGCCGTGGCTGTCTCCTCCTGATTGGTGGAGTTGGCCCAATAGCCGTAGCGCCACCGTCCTGACGTCAGGACAGTGTTCAAATCTGGATCAGTTTTTATCAGATCCGTTGCAGCCCCTTTTTTAGAGATTTGGGTATGGAGGAAAATAGAGAGGGTTGTGTTTTCTGACACTTGGTGAGTTCCCTGGAACACCGGGGACACATATTCATGTAGAAAAGACGTACAAAAGTGCATTTTGCATGATAGGTCCCCTTTAAGTTTGTACAGTATCATAATTCTCTTGTTTCATTTCATTATAATTTTTTGTGTTATGGTTTTACACGTTCGAAATAAATCAAGTCAATAAATAAAGTGTTTTTCTAAAAGGTAGACCCACCTTCACCTCCCCCGTCCTCGCCTCCCCGTCCTCCCCGGCGTCGGAGATGTCCGAGTAGGCGGGGCTTCCTGTTTCGGCCCCGTTCAGGTGCCCCCCCTCCCCCCGGCCGAGCGAGGGGCTGGGCGCCGTGTCGGAGAAACTGTAAACCTTATCCGCCTCCGCTTTGATGCTCGCCAAACGATTCTGATGCTCCGATCCGTTCAGAAGGGAGTCCGGAGAATCCTCCTCTCTATTCCCTCCTCCCTTTCCTTTAGGACTGTCTCCTTCCCTGCCTCCCTCCCTCTTCTTCTTCTTCTTCTTGTCCTTGGTGGGGGTGGGGCCAGGGCTGGAGGCGGAGCTCTTGGGGATTGGCTGCTGCACCACGGAGGAGGCGGGGGAAGTGTTCTGTAAGGCGTAAGAAGGGGAAGGGGAGGCGGCGGAAGGACGTCCGGGTTTCACGCCTTTCTGAGTCACTTTATCAGGTTTTCCGCCTCCCGTCGTCTTCCTGGACTTCCTGTCGTCCAACCCGTCGTTGCTTGCCTCGTCCGTAAGACACGCCCCTTCCTCCTCCAACTCCGCATCCATCTCCGCCTCCTTCTTCCTCACCTTCATCCTTCCCGGCGAGGGCGAAGGCGCGTCGAACCCCCGTCCTTTAGGAGTCGTTGAGCGAGCGGGAGAAATGGCGGCGGCTCCGTTACAAGAACCAGGAGCGTCAGAGTGGGTTAGAACATCGTCTCCGTACTCGCTGTCCACGTCCTGAACGTCGTGGTCGTTGTGCGCCCGCGCCTGGTGGTACTTCAGCCCGTTCATGTGCTTGTACTTCTTGTTGCAGTTGGGGTGAGGGCAGTCGATGAGGACGGGGGAGGGGCAATCCAACATTGGAGGAGGAAGGGAATCCGGTTTTCCTCCAGGAAGTGGGAGAGCGTTACCGGTGGAGTCTGTCCTCATTCGTTTAGAGGCCTTTGTGTCCTCGGAGCTGGAAGTTGGTTCCATGTCGGACGCGGGTTTGTTTTTCCTCTTGTTGGAAGATGGACTAGCTTCAGTTCCTCCCAACATGGCCGTCTGGCTGCCTCGCCGCCCTTTGCTGTTAGCCGCCGCCGCGCTGCCGCCACCGCGCGTCTTACTGCTGCCGCTCCCTTTATTGTCGGAGGAGTTGCTGTTGTCGTTGAGCGGCGTGTTGCTGCCGGGTCGAATCCGCTTCCCACGACCTCGACCGCCGCGCATCTCCACGTCACTGCTGGGAGACTCGCAGAACCTGGACGTGAGTGAGACACAATACAAGAGCAATACATGAAAAACAAACAACAAACATTTAACATAACAGCTGCTCAAAGAGCCTTCAGCGTTTGATCTGGATTCAGCGTTTGATCTGGATTCAGCATTTGATCTGGATTCAGCGTTTGATCTGGATTCAGCGGTCTGCTGTTTTTATCGGAGATGTAATTGAGTGTGTACCTCGGGGGGGCCCAGTCATGTCTGGTGCAGTCCAGCAGGGTCCCGACGTACGTCTTGTTCCTCCAGGTGACGTTCACCACCAGCATGCCTAGAAAACACACAACCAGTTAGAATTAGGGCTGACCTCGAGAATTTCGAAAATTTGAGATTTTTCTAGTAGAGTCTATTCGGGGGATGAGTCGACACATCGTCATACGTTTATGATTATATGATATTATACCTTTTGGCTTCAAAAACCTGTTTCTGTTTCAAGGCTGAGGTATGAGTAACACCTGGTACGTCGTGCTACATATCCAATGTGATGCTACATATCCAATGTGATGCTACATATCCAATGTGATGCTACATATCCAATGTGATGCTACATATCCAATGTGATGCTACATTTCCAATGTGATGCTACATATCCAATGTGATGCTACATATCCAATGTGATGCTACATTTCCAATGTGATGCTACATATCCAATGTGATGCTACATTTCCAATGTGATGCTACATATCCAATGTGATGCTACATTTCCAATGTGATGCTACATATCCAATGTGATGCTACATATCCGCTACATATCCAATGTGATGCTACATTTCCAATGTGATGCTACATATCCAATGTGATGCTACATTTCCAATGTGATGCTACATATCCAATGTGATGCTACATTTCCAATGTGATGCTACATATCCAATGTGATGCTACATATCCAATGTGATGCTACATATCCAATGTGATGCTACATTATCCAATGTGATGCTACATATCCAATGTGATGCTACATTTCCAATGTGATGCTACATATCCAATGTGATGCTACATATCCAATGTGATGCTACATTTCCAATGTGATGCTACATTTCCAATGTGATGCTACATATCCAATGTGATGCTACATATCCAATGTGATGCTACATTTCCAATGTGATGCTACATTTCCAAGGAATAGTCCATAGCTCAAACGGGGAAGTCGTAGGCTAACGGAGAACGAACCACTTTTGAAGAATAGAGTTTGTCGGAATTTTACGAAATGTGGTATACCCATTGTTCTTAAGATTGTGAAGACATTTCCAATCGGCCTTTACTAGCCCCGCCCACCCAGAAGTCGGCCATTTTGGAAAAAGTGTAATTTTCCTGCGTTTTTTGCAAACTTTTACAAACTACTTGAAACTACTCGAATATAGTTGATCGGAATTTCACGAAATTTGGTATAGAATTACAATAAAATTGAAAAAGCCATATCGGTCGATCCCTACTTTAACCCATCCTAGTACCAGGAGTCTAGTACCAGGAGCAGTGGGCAGCTATTGTACAGCGCTCGGGGAGCAATGGGAGTGAGGGGGGAAGGGGGGTGTCCGGTGCCTTGCTCAAGGGCACCACGGCAGGGCAGGAGGTGAACTGGGACCTCTCCAAGTAGAAGTCCACACTCCATATTTAGGTCTGGTCGGGACTTGAACCGGCGACCCTACGGCTCACAGTCTAAGCCCCTACTGACTGAGCCACTGCCGGACAAATCTCTGAGTGAGTATCTCTCACCGTCCTCCGTCTCCTGCCACACGATGTTGACAAATGTTGTTATATATGTATAAATAAACTTTGATTTGATTAATATAATGTAAAGAAAGGTTGTCTCCTCCCACCGTCCTCTGTCTCCTGTCGTTTGTGATATTGGGCTGTATGTGATTTGATGAATAAAACTCTCACCGTCCTCCGTCTCCTGCCACACGATGCCCTCCAGGTTGACGCTGGTGCCTGGCTCACAGGGTCCCAGGCACTCGGGCTCCGTGGCGAGCGCGGCGTCGGCTGTGTTCACGGCCACCGAGCGCGTCCGGACCATCAGCTGCTCGCAGGGGGACGAGATGTCCCCGCCGGACCCCGAGACGAGGGGGTGGAGCGGAGGAGGAGCCGGCGTGGAGATCGGAGACTCCATCTGGAAGAGGGAAGGAACACAGAGGTTAAAACAACACATGAAACCACAACATAATGCAACAGGGAGACACAGTGAAAAAGGTCTTTATTAGTAGAAGAGACATGAAGAAGAGGGGACACATGTTGATGAAGAAGAGACATGAAGAAGAGGGGACACATGTTGATGTAGAAGAGACATGAAGAAGAGGGGACACATGTTGATGTAGAAGAGACATGAAGAAGAGGGGACACATGTTGATGTAGAAGAGACATGAAGAAGAGGGGACACATGTTGATGTAGAAGAGACATGAAGAAGAGGGGACACATGTTGATGTAGAAGAGACATGAAGAAGAGGGGACACATGTTGATGAAGAAGAGACATGAAGAAGAGGGGACACATGTTGATGTAGAAGAGACATGAAGAAGAGGGGACACATGTTGATGTAGAAGAGACATGAAGAAGAGGGGACACATGTTGATGTAGAAGAGACATGAAGAAGAGGGGACACATGTTGATGTAGAAGAGACATGAAGAAGAGGGGACACATGTTGATGTAGAAGAGACATGAAGAAGAGGGGACACATGTTGATGTAGAAGAGACATGAAGAAGAGGGGACACATTTTGATGAAGAAGTGGATTTTGCATAATAGGGGACCTTTAAATGAATGTCTGTATTTATGTACAATTTGCCAAGACTTAGAAGGAAAGTATGGAGTATGTAATGTATGGATGTGTGTGTGAGCAATACCGTGTAGATTTGAGTGGAGTGTAAACTGAGGCGGGTGTGATTTTTATGTACATCTCCATGTATGTTGTATATTTGTGGAATAAATAAAAAGTTCTAAAAAAAAGAACTCCTAACATACGGCCACACGACGCGCTCCAGTTTGACACATTTTGTTTGTGATATTGGGCTGTATAAATAAAGTTTGATTTGATTAATATAATGACTACTATCTACTTATTGATGGAACACACACACACACCTTGAAAAATAATATTTCTTCTGTTTGTAGCATTTAGAAAGGATTGGTTTTAAGTGAAGCTGATGCAGTTAATCTGGTCTGGATTAGAAACAGCAAAAGCTCCGGCAGGATTCTGGTTTTGAGTTTCAGCTTCTTCACATTTGAATGCACTTATTGTAAGTTGCTTTCAATAAGTGTCAGCTAAGTGAATGAAATGTAACACCTGAGGGCAGCAGAGAGCGTTCACAATAAGAGCTGACTCAAGAACCACTTAAGATAACACACACTCAGAGGCAAAGTAGCAGCAACAAACTTTCAGCAGTAACTTTTATTTGGTGTAAAAAATATCAGAAAAAAGTTAATTCCAGTCTATTTTTTTTGGACCAAAAATCTGGATATTTTTGCATGTAAAGGTAGTGAATGCAAAGAGAGGAAGAGGTTTGAAGCAAAGAACAGACAGGCTGACAATTACATTTTAATACTTTTGTAGCCGTGTAGCTTCGATCTATTTGATGACTTGGTTTTTCACAATGAGCACCAAGGAGGAAAGGTTTGACACCGCTCGATAACCTGCTTCCTCTAACAAAGTTATGGTTTTTATATGATTTCTATTTTCTGTTATGATGATGCCTGTATGATATGTTAACATCTGAATAGACAGACACCCCTTTATTTCTACACTGATGTCACCAGCGTTTTTCAGGGCATCTAACATATTTCCAACGTCGAAGCACAAAGACACTGACTCTGATACACATGCCATGTTGACACAGGCCCTCAGAGGACATTCTCCAATTACATTTGAGTGTGTAATATATCAGCAAGGGAAAGATGATGACGCAGAAAGAAGCGGCACTATTGAGTAGAACAAGCAGATTATTCAACTGATCGTTTCATTGTATTGACTACATAAACATAAAGTTTATGACCTTTAACGACAGCAGAGTTCTCCGACTCTGAACCAGTAGCTTTTTGTGCAACACCTCTCCTCAGGGGTTAATGTAATGCCAACATGCAGCAGCATGTGAATGCAACACTGATTAGTGGTTCACTTGGAAATCCCAGAAGATATCTGTGAACAAATGCTTCTGTTCATGGATAAAAAAATCTTGTGCTGTAAAAATCAAAGAACAGGATCATCATCTGAGCCACGTGTTGCTTTCATGGTTGGGAATAAAGAACCAAGTTCAAATTCCCTCAGACTCACTGCGTAAAACCCTACGTTAAAGTCTGCTTTAAACTCGACGTCACTACGTCAAACTCTGCATCACTGCGTTAAACTCTACGTCACTGCGTAAAACCCTACGTCACTGCGTAAAACCCTACGTCAAAGTCTGCTTCAAACTCTACGTTAAAGTCTGCTTTAAAGGGCCCATGTCATGCTTTTCCGGTTATTACCCGTCCCCTTGTGTTATGAAGGTTTTTATGCATGTAAACGGTGTGCAGAGTCAAAACCCTCAAAGTACACCCTGTAGCGAGTAAAACTCTAACACAGAAAAGACCTCCCCAACACGCCTCGTTGGAGATACGTCACTGTCCATTTGATTCTTCCGGGTACGGCATGATGTCATGCCGTACCCGGAACAAAATGGACCAATCCGTGGAGCCGTTACGTTACGTCCGCGGAGCCGTTACGTTAAGCCCCCGCTGATTGGTCCAAATTGACCAATCCACGGACTTCCTCACACACACATCTGTGTGCAGGGAGCAGGCAGCTGATTTCTCCTCCCTGGCTGCAGGCTGATAACAGACAGTTGGGATCGCGGCGAAATCCATCCTCTCCGCAGACCCATTCTCTCTGCAGACCCATTCTCTCCGCAGACCCATTCTCTCCGCAGACCCATTCTCTCCGCAGACCCATTCTCTCCGCAGACCCATTCACTCCGCAGACCCATTCTCTCCGCAGACCCATTCTCTCCGCAGACCTATTCTCTCTGCAGACCCATTCTCACAGCGTTTATCAACCTTTTTCTTACTCAATATCAAGCCACACTTATTGTTTTTACTTCGGCTGTGAGTTTGTGTGTGCTCAGGATGAGTTTGGCTGTGTTTAGCTATGTATCCTAAACAAGGAAACAACACCTCCACGGAGCTCAGCGCGATTCACAACGTCCCGACCAATCAGAGCACACTGTGCTCACAAGGAGGGTGGGGGCTGGAGCTATTGGAGCTACAACGAGCCGTTAAAGGCAGAGAGTGAAATTCAGTGAATACACGTAGTTTACAGAGATGCTGTTTGAGAAACCAATGTGAGTTTGGAGAAATGCTGTTTGAGAAACCAATGTGAGTTTGGAGAGATGCTGTTTGAGAAACCAATGTGAGTTTGGAGAGATGCTGTTTGAGAAACCAATGTGAGTTTGGAGAGATGCTGTTTGAGAAACCAATGTGAGTTTGGAGAGATGCTGAGAAACCAATGTGAGTTTGGAGAGATGCTGTATGAGAAACCAATGTGAGTTTGGAGAGATGCTGAGAAACCAATGTGAGTTTGGAGAGATGCTGTATGAGAAACCAATGTGAGTTTGGAGAGATGCTGTATGAGAAACCAATGTGAGTTTGGAGAGATGCTGTTTGAGAAACCAATGTGAGTTTGGAGAGATGCTGTTTGAGAAACCAATGTGAGTTTGGAGAGATGCTGTTTGAGAAACCAATGTGAGTTTGGAGAGATGCTGTTTGAGAAACCAATGTGAGTTTGGAGAGATGCTGAGAAACCAATGTGAGTTTGGAGAGATGCTGTATGAGAAACCAATGTGAGTTTACAGAGATGCTGTATGAGAAACCAATGTGAGTTTGGAGAGATGCTGTATGAGAAACCAATGTGAGTTTGGAGAGATGCTGTTTGAGAAACCAATGTGAGTTTACAGAGATGCTGTATGAGAAACCAATGTGAGTTTGGAGAGATGCTGTTTGAGAAACCAATGTGAGTTTGGAGAGATGCTGTATGAGAAACCAATGTGAGTTTGGAGAGATGCTGTATGAGAAACCAATGTGAGTTTGGAGAGATGCTGTATGAGAAACCAATGTGAGTTTGGAGAGATGCTGTATGAGAAACCAATGTGAGTTTGGAGAGATGCTGTTTGAGAAACCAATGTGAGTTTGGAGAGATGCTGTTTGAGAAACCAATGTGAGTTTGGAGAGATGCTGTATGAGAAACCAATGTGAGTTTGGAGAGATGCTGTATGAGAAACCAATGTGAGTTTGGAGAGATGCTGTATGAGAAACCAATGTGAGTTTGGAGAGATGCTGTTTGAGAAACCAATGTGAGTTTGGAGAGATGCTGTTTGAGAAACCAATGTGAGTTTGGAGAGATGCTGTTTGAGAAACCAATGTGAGTTTGGAGAGATGCTGTATGAGAAACCAATGTGAGTTTGGAGAGATGCTGTTTGAGAAACCAATGTGAGTTTGGAGAGATGCTGTATGAGAAACCAATGTGAGTTTGGAGAGATGCTGTATGAGAAACCAATGTGAGTTTGGAGAGATGCTGTTTGAGAAACCAATGTGAGTTTGGAGAGATGCTGTATGAGAAACCAATGTGAGTTTGGAGAGATGCTGTATGAGAAACCAATGTGAGTTTGGAGAGATGCTGTTGAGAAACCAATGTGAGTTTGGAGAGATGCTGTATGAGAAACCAATGTGAGTTTGGAGAGATGCTGTATGAGAAACCAATGTGAGTTTGGAGAGATGCTGTATGAGAAACCAATGTGAGTTTGGAGAGATGCTGTTTGAGAAACCAATGTGAGTTTGGAGAGATGCTGTATGAGAAACCAATGTGAGTTTGGAGAGATGCTGTTTGAGAAACCAATGTGAGTTTGGAGAGATGCTGTATGAGAAACCAATGTGAGTTTGGAGAGATGCTGTATGAGAAACCAATGTGAGTTTGGAGAGATGCTGTATGAGAAACCAATGTGAGTTTACAGAGATGCTGTATGAGAAACCAATGTGAGTTTGGAGAGATGCTGTTTGAGAAACCAATGTGAGTTTGGAGAGATGCTGTTTGAGAAACCAATGTGAGTTTGGAGAGATGCTGTATGAGAAACCAATGTGAGTTTGGAGAGA